TTTGCTGTGACCCTTAATTTATTAATGTGTTTTAATCAACTTACATAGAAGAGTTTGAGGCAGTTGAGGTTCCTTAGTGTTCTTAATATGTCGTTTGCAGCCTAGCTGGTGGTAGTGTGTTATTTCAGTTGAATACACCATTGGTAGCCTTGCAGATTCTTAAGAATAGTTCGAAACAATCTCTTGATGTCTGAACTTTTCATGTATTCCGGACAGGTCAATGTCCCCTGAATCTGAAGGCAGAAAAGTATCTAGATCACATGGGGAGACTCTATGTATCAACTTGAGTCTTGGGAGCCATCTTTCAGAAGGCTACGGAATTTCATTGCGAAAACATAATAGTTTTGCCATTAAGTGTGTCAAGGTGCTTTCCTCAAACTGGTGATGCACATGTGTATCATGCTATTGAGATTGTTAAGATTCTTCCTATGATTCGTAGGATTTCTTCATATGCTATCACCCTCAAAAAGTTTCAAGAAAAGTGTGGAGGATTGAAGGAAACTGATTCCGTTGACACATCTTGAGTTATTTGACAGGATCTCAAAAGGCTATTAAATAATCAACACCAAGAATGATTGTTATTGAGGGATTACATAAAAGTTAATAGTAAAGGACCAGCCTTTAAACTTTAAAGGAGTTCTTTTTCTTGCATTTATTTATTCCATTTTTATTCTTGCATTGCCAAAAAATATCAATTCGTTTGTTTTTTTGACCTGTTAATGACCTCAAGATAACACGCTTATTGGGCATAGCCTACTATAAAATTCTGAGTTAGTTGACATACAAAGGTTCATAAAACCATGTAGGACGATTATAAAATTACACATATTTGACCCAAAAAAAAAAAAGAAGAAATAATGTAAATGCACCCAAGTGATGCAATCTGTAGTATTTTGTTGGCTTAAACGGTTTAAGCTATCAAGTGATTTAATAGCTAATATTTAACCCACTTTCTATACTTTAATGCTCCCTCTATACTTTAATATTTAAGTCCTTTTGCGGATGAACTAATGTTTGTGGTTATACAAAATTACCTCAATTATTTTTACATTGTTATTTCGTCACAATAACAAATCTTAGATATCTATATCAAACCTGTTAAGCCGTATTGCAATGATAGTTCATGCCCCAGGCAACGAGGATTGAGAGACTATTGTTTTATCTTTTTTGTTATTTTCCTACATAATTATTTTGTCATAACAAAACATATTATTTTTCTTCTTAGTTACATATATATTTGCCAAACACTACCATTTCTTTTCTTAGTTACATATCTATCTTTGCACGTACTCGGGCTGAGATTTAATTCTTCTTAACAAATGACTCTTTTTCCTTCATGAATGTATATTTACCAAAAGAAGGTTGAATTTGATCAAGTAATACCATATCTCTATAGGTATTAATGGAATTTTCTTTATCACGTGCCAGTCAATTAGGCTATCAATAGACTTACCGAACATGTGCCATTATTCTATTAGTTGTTCATTTAATAATAATTTTAAACAGTAAAAGGACAATACATAATACATGATTTTAAAAATGTAGATTAAGGTGGAATGAGACCCGACGAGTTTATTTTGTCAACGGGTTATCAGAAATACTAAACTGTTCATTCATCGATAAATATCATCTTTGAACTAATAATTCTTACTTATTCTTCTGTTTTTTTTTTTTGGTTCAACAGGTTGCCAAAAATACTTAAATAGCAGTAAAAATCGTTCTAGGTATTTAACCTACCAACGACTAAGAATTTTTAAGTAGGATGATGCAAAGTGACATGCTGTTAAAGATGAAAATGTATATCGAATGAGACCTTTCGTTTTCTTTTTTACTTTAACAGACTGTCAGAAATTCTTAAATATGAACGTTTTATTTATAAATCCAATTTCAATAATTATCATTTAAATTGTTCGTCTTTTCTATTGCATTTTGTATGTCTTATGAATTAAATTAGATTTAATTTTTTAATGTATTTTTTTCCAATGTGTTGATATTGGCAACACGTCCATCAACCAAGACCATTGCAGGTTTTTAACTTATTACTTAGAACCTTTTAAACATTAATATACAAAGTGACATGATATTAAAAAAGAAAATGAAGATGGAATAAGAGCCGGTTCTTTTTTTTTTCTTCTTTTACTTTTTTGGTCTAACAGGGTGTCAAAAATACTAATATATCAGACAAAAACCATGTCAATTTTTTAATACCTACCAAAAACTCAGAACCTTTTAAGTCAGATAACATAGAATCACACGTTGTTAAAGATAAAAGTGAATATGGAATGAGACCCATTAGTTCTTTTTTTTCTTCTTTTTTTGTTCACCGAGCTGTTAAAAACACTAAAATAGTAGCTAAAACTATTACAGATTTTTAACCAACAAAAAACATAGAATCTTCAAGTAGACGATACAGAGTAACATAGTAGACAAAACCACTACAATTCTTAAACCTACCAAAGAATCTAAACATTTTCAATGAGATAACATAGAGTAACATGTTGTTAAAGATAAAAGTAAAGATGGAATGAGATCCACCAGTTCATTTTATTTTCTTGGTTCAACGGGCTATTATAAATGCTAAAATAGCAGCTAAAACCATTACAGATTTTTAACCTACCAAAAATGTGGAACCTTTAAGCAGGACAATAAAGAGTTACATAATGTTAAAAATATAAATGAAGATAGAATGAGACCTGCCGATTTTTTGTTTTCAACGGGTTATCGAAAATACTAAATTGTTCATTTATCGATAAGCATCATTTTGAACAAATAGTTCTTGCTTATTCTTCTGTTATTTTTTCTGTTTGGGTTCAACAGGTTGCTAAAAATACTGAAATAGTAAAATTAAATCATTCTAAGTATTTAACCTACCGAAAACTAAGAACTTTTAAGTAAGATGATGCAAAGTGACATGCTGTTAAAGATGAAAATGTATATCGAATGAGACCTTTTGTTTCTTTTTTAGTTTAACGGACTGTCAGAAATTCTTAAATATGAAAGTTTTATTTATAAAACCAATTTCAATAATTATTATTTAAATTGTTCTTCTTTTCTATTGCATGTTTTTATGTCTTATGAATTAAATTGGATTGAAGTTTTTAATGTATTTTTTTCCCATGTGTTGTTATAGGCAACACGTCCATCAACCGAAACCAATGTAGGTTTTTAACTTATGAAAGACTTAGAACCTTTAAACATTAATATACAAGGTGACATGGTATTAAAAGTGAAAATGAAGATGGAATAAGAGCCGGTTCTTTCTTATTTTTTCTTTTTCTTTTTTGGTTTGACGGGGTGTCAAAAATACTAATATAGCAGACAAAAGCATGTCAATTTTTTAAAACTTGCCAAAAACTCGGAACCTTTTGATTCAGATAACAAAGAATGACATGTTGTTAAAGATAAAAGTGAAAATGTAATTAGACCACTGATTCTTTTTCTTTTATTTGTTCAACAAGCTGTTATAAATACTGAAATAACAGTTAAAACATTGCACATTATCCTACCAAAAATATGGAACCTTTACGCAGAACGATATAGAGTGACATGATTCTAAAAATACAAATGAAGATAGAATGAGACCCACCGTTTTTTTAATGGGTTGTCGAAAATACTGAACTAGCAACAAAAACCAATGCATGTTTTTAACTTGCCAAAGACTCATAATCTTTAAGTATGATGATGCAGAATGGCATACTTTTAAATCGAGAAATGGCATACTGTTAAATATAAAAATGAAGATAAAATAAGACCCGTCAAAAGATGGCCCTTTCATAATTAAAAATTAGGGGCAAAGAATTTCTCTTTGAACAAGTAGTGTTTGGTTTTTCTTTTTGTTTATTTTATTATTATTATTATTATTTTGCAATGGCCAGGCTGCCAAATATAGTACATAAACTAAACATTTACTGAATCATCATTCATACAAATATCTAAATTTTTTCTATATAATTAACATCGATTAAATTTATTTCAAATGTTAAGCTCACCGTGCATCGCACGGGAACAAAACTAGTAAACTTAAAAGATCCACATGGACAGAATCAGTTATTTCTCTCTCTCTCTCAAAAAAAAAAAAAACCCTTCTCCCCAAGCAAGTTCTCATCCGGCACAAAGTCCTCAACCAATGACCTAATGTTAGGCATAAATTGCTCGCTTCAATCGTGTCTGGCAGTCTGGATAGCGGTGAACAATCCAAGAAATAATTAGCCAACTAGGTTTTGATTTTTTCTTTTATCTCCTTTTAATCTCTAATTATTTTCAATTCTCGACTCCAATTTTTTCCTCTTTGGTCGCGAAAGAATTCTTGGCAGCAACAAACATTGAAATTTTTTCCTCTGTGGCTGCGAAAGAACTTTTGGCAGCAACAAACTTTGAGTAGAGGTCTACGGTGGAGTTTTTCCATGAGTAGTGACTAGAAATTTCCTTTTTTTAATACTTTGAACCTCTGCAGTCTAAACCCAGATTACAAGTCAGTGACTATATTTTCACCTCATTGCCTTTATTTGGATAAACAATTTTGTTCTATGGGACAAGAATCAGTTCATAATATTTCCACAGCGATTAATTTTATTGATATTTATGCTTCTTGGTCTAATCTAGAAGCATCTTATTGTTAATTTATATAGCGAGCAACTACTGAATGTTGGGTGTTTATAAAATGCCAAAAAGAATTTTGAATATGTTTCCCTTGGACAGTGTTTTCTCTTATCTTTGTTTTCCGATGTTTTGACATTTCTTTTCTTACCTTCATAATGAAAATCTAATCATAGACTTGAAAGAACACATGTTTTGGCTTGAATCTGGTTCTCTAAATGATTGCTCTACTTTTATTACTCCCTCCATTTTAAAATATAAGATTTTTTAGACTCTGCACGCAAACTGAGGAGACAATCATCCAACAATTAATTTATATATTAAATATCTGGTTTACCTCTCATTAATTACATTGAAACTATAAACAAGACTAAAAGAAAATAGATTGGCATCATTTATTGAGGATAGAGTTGAAAAAATAGTCATTAAAATTTGCCTAGAATTTGTACAACAACCTATATTTTGAAAAATCTCTCCAAACTTAAAACGAACTATAATTTAAAACGGTGGGAGTATTCTTTTGACCATTTAATACCAAACATTTGTATCCAACCCTCTCTCCTCTTGCCACATCCTAGGAATAAAAAATGATAAGCAAAAGTTTCAAACAAAAGTTCCCATGGAAGAAGGTGAAATTAATCATTCTGCTTCGTCGAACAAGGTTAGTGGTCAAAACCATGAAATTGCTCCTGTACAAGATGATTCATGTGTTAATCTTTTGGAAAAGTTATCCAATAGCAAAATTGTTCAAATTGGGGACGGATCTAGTAGTAAAAAGTCGATGGGAAAGGAGGTCAATGAGGAAATTCGGGTTACACAAGATACTGGTGTTTGGGGGAAACCTAACCCTAGTCTAACACAGGGGATTGACCGTAAATTGGAGTTCATAGAGCCTACTAAAAAGCATGATAGAGTCATAGCAAGGATTCAGAAAGATGAAATTCAAGTAGCCCTAGAATATTGGAAAACTTCAATCATCTGCTACATGTTGGGAGCCAACCCTCCCTTTTTTGTTGTCAGTGGCTATCTTTGTAGGATTTGGGGCAAACTGGGTATAGATAAAATCCTGTTAATGGATAATGGTGTTTATATTGCAAGATTCAAATCTATGGCAGCTAAGGAAGAGGTACTTAGAAGCAATATTTACCACTTTGATCATCACCCCTTAATTGTTAAGGATTGGTCTGTGGAAGAGGGATTTAAACTGGAGGATGTTAAAATGGTTCCAGTTTGGGTGCAATTTTCTAAACTACAACTCAGGTACTGGACTGCTAAAACCTTGAGTAGGATTCCCAGTGTCTTGGGGAAACCGTTGGAATTAGATGAGTTGACGGCAACGAGGAACAGAGCAGCCTTTGCAAGAATCCTGGTAGAAATGCCAATCAGGGATCATATGCCGGATGCAGTTTGGTTTGAAGACGAGAATGGTATCCTTCAAGAACAGAAAATTAAGTACGAGTGGTTGCCGGTTAAATGTGGTAACTGTGCAGGATATGGTCATGAAATTGCTGCTTGTAGGAAGCCAGTTCAGAAGACATGGAAAGAGAGGAATTCTCCAAGTCCAAAACAACTTGAAGAGCATGATGGAACTAAGACTGCTAAAACTAAGACTGTTGCTCAAGAAGCAAAGGAAGAAGAGCATAAGGAGACTACTACTGCAACAAAACAGATCACAAGAACTCTCAATTCAGGAATAAAGAATAGTGGCAAACTGCAAGTGACTAATAGCAGTACACAAGTGGATGGGAAGCAGAGCTTGTCACGTAAAGAGTAAATCGGCGCTAATACACGTATTAGTAGACAGAAGCAAGGAGGTCGATTATCGGTTCATGAAGCTGGTCACCCTGATCCAGGGCCTAGCAAACATGACGAACCTACTTAGTTGGAATATAAGAGGGCTGAATAGCCCTCTGAAACATAGAGAGATAAGCAACTATCTCTCCAGAAATAAAGTAGGTATAGTAGGGCTTCTTGAAACAAAGCTAAATGAAGAGAAGGTAAAAGAGTTAATGGAGATAAAATGGAGTCAGTATAAATATATCAGCAACCATGGGATTACTACTAAGGGAAGGATCCTTTTAATATGGAAGGAAGATGAATATCAGATACTTGAACTACGTAAAGAGCATGAATTCATCCATAGCTTGGTGAAGAGAATAGATAGTGGAGCTGAATTTTTACTAACAACAGTTTAAGCAGACCATCAATCGCAGGGAAGAACACACTTGTGGGATTACTTATTTAGTCAATCTGGTCAAATAGACCAACCTTGGCTAATAATAGGTGATTTCAATTGTATATTGATGCCGGAAGAGAAGACAGGAGGTGTTGCAAGCCTAAGTGGTGACTCTGGAATGTTTCAACTAATAATTGACAGTTGTGAGTTGCTCGAGATGAAAACTATTGCTAATCAGTACACTTGGAGTGATAGGCAAATGGGCTATAATAGAATATCCTGCAAACTTGATAGGGCTCTCATCAACGAGAATTGGCTTGATGCGTACCCGGATGCCACAGCAATGGTGCTTCCCCCTGGAATCTCAGACCATAGCCCCATATTGCTAAAATGGAAGCCTGAATTGGCACCTGCTAAGAAGCAATTCCGTTGCTTTAATATGTGGACTTGCCACCCGGAATTTGCAGAGGTTGTGAAGAAGGTATGGAACAAAAAGGTGGTTGGCACCTTTCAGTATCAGCTCTTCAAAAAGCAGCAGATGCTCAAGCCTCAACTGAAGGATTTCAACAGGAAGTACTTCAATGAGATTGAGAACAAGGCTCAACAGCTCAAGGAGGAACTAGAGGGAATTCAGAAGCAATTGGATTTGGACAATCAGAATGCTGATCTGTAACAAAAGGAAAAGGAATCTCTTGGGCAGTACATAATAGTCAGCAAAGCATTGCTCAGTTACTGGCAATAAAAACTTAAGGAGCAGTGGACTAATGAAGGTGATGTCAATTTGAGGTTCTTCCATGCCAGAATCATGTCCTACATCAATCAGCAGAGAGAGCTAATAGAACAGCGAGATCAGGTACAAAATCATTTCATCAACTATTATGAAAGTTTGTTAGGTACAATAACTTCTAGAACACCGGCAAACTGTGAGGGTTTTAATTCAGGGTTCAAACTGTCTGTAGACCAGCAGATACTCCTGATTAGAAACTTCACATTTGCCGATTTGAAAGATGCTGTTTTCAGTATAAACCCTAATAAATGTGCTGGGCCGGACAGATTTAGTTGTGGATTTTATAGAGAAGCCTGGAATATAGTGGGGGGATATAAGTAGAGTTCAGGTCAAATGCTAAAACAGTACAATGCTACTCTAATCTCACTGATCCCAAAAACTAATGTCCCGAAGGATGCTACTGAGTTTCGACCCATAGCATGCTGTAATACTATTTATAAAATAGTCTCTAAGCTGATTAGCAAAAGACTTAGCCTTGTTTTGCCTAATCTTGTTGATATAAAAGGAGCTTTTGTAAAGCAAAGGTCCATCTTACATAATGTGATGCTAACTCAGGAGTTAATACGCCTTTATAGAAGGAAAACAGTTAAATCTAGTTGTTTAATGAAAGTGGACCTCAAGAAGGCTTTTGATTCAATTCATTGGGACTTTATCGTTGAAATGCTGGAAAGTTATCATTTTCCTCCAAAGTTTATTGGATGGGTCATGGAATGTATTAGTACTTGTAGTTATTCCCTTAATTTAAATGGAAGCAGCTGTGGTTTTTTCCAGGGTAAGAGGGGATTAAGACAAAGGGACTCCGTCTCCCCTCTTCTGTTTACTTTGATTATGGTGTTTCTGAACAGGCTGTTTAAGCGTAAGTAAGTGAAGGATATAAATTTCATCAATTCTGTGAGAAACTCCAAATTACTAACCTGAGTTTTGCCGATGGTCTTATCATTATGTGTGAAGCTGATTTACATGTTGTTATGCAAATTAAGTCTGTTTGAGACCAGTTTGCAAGCACAACTGGGTTGACTGTTAATGTCGCAAAGTCGAACCTTTACTTTGGAGGAGTTCCAGGAAGCATTCAAGAGAAAATCCAGCAGCTTATGGGTTTCCAGATTGGTGCTTTCCCCATAAGATATCTGGGAGTACCAATCTCCCCTACTGCCTGGTCCCAAGATGATTGTCAGCAGGTGGTGGATAAAATCACCAAAAGATTGAAGTATTGGTCTACCCGTAGCTTGTCTTATGCTGGCAGGTTGACTCTTATAAACTCTGTACTTTTGAACCTGCACTCCTATTGGTCTGGAATCTTTTTGCTTCCTCAGTCTGTTATCAAAATTATTGAAAGGCATTGTCATGAGTTTCTATGGGGGAAAGGTGAAACAAGGAGAAGTAGGGCTTTAGTGGCTTGCGATGAGATATGCAAGAAGAAGTCTGATGGTGGTTTGCATATAAAAAAAACAGGGCTCTGGAACAAAGCCTTGGTTGCAAAACAGCTATGTAACTTGGAGCAAAACAAGGAGAGTCTTTGGATTCGATGGATCCATTCTTATTACTTGAAGACGAAATCTATTTGGGTTTACAAGCTTGCAGCAGATGTCAGCTGGCATTGAAGGAAGCTTATGATCATCCGAGATGAGTTTTGTCCTGCTGTGGTCAATGGCAAATGGACAGGAAACAGCAAGAAGACATATACAGCCAGTAGTGGTTTCAGCTGGCTAATGGGGAAGCAGACCAAATACAGAGCAGCAAAGATCATCTGGATCCCCCTCTCAATACCAAAGCACAGTTTTATTATGTGGTTGGCCCTAAAAGATAGACTATCTATACAGGAAAGGTTGCAGAAAATGAGCTTGCTGAGGACACCACAGCAGCGTGAGTTATGCTCAGCTGATGAAGAATCCATTGATCATCTAATGTTTCAATGTGATTACTCTCACAAGCTGATCAAATATCTCATGGAATGGCCAGGGATGAATCTCAACTTGTACTGTTTGAGGAATGCACTTAAAAACTTGCTGAGGAGATGGAGGCATCAAAGAGCAAGGCAAAACTTGGTATATGCTATGATTAATGCTGCTGTGTATTTTGTATGGTATGAAAGGGATTGCAGGAAATTTCAAAACGTGAAGAAGGAACCAGAGGAGAGATTCGGGGAGATTAAGGCACTGCTGATTTCCAGAATTCAGTATTTTTGTAAAGTAAAAGGAAAACTTGCTTATGATGCTTTCTTAGGTTGATTCTATTTGTAAATATGTTTTTATAATAGATTTGGTTGGCAGGCATGTAAATGGTTGAGCTTTCACAGTTATATATATTTACCCTTAACCAAAAAAAAAAGGTTTCAAACAAAATTTTGTTTGAAACTTTTTTTTTTTAGAAGATCCTTGAAAAGTACGGCTGAACCAAGAAAGTTTAGTAAGAGAAATGACAATGACGATTCCCAATTTTTCAATCTCATCTGCACGTTGGAAAAAAAAAAAGAGAGAAAAAAGAAATCTTTGCACAAGTTGAAATATAGAAAAAAGAAAAGAACCCAAAATAACATAGAGAACAAAGTTGAGGAGTACATATATATATATATATATATATATATATATATATATATATCTATTTTCCATCATGACAATTGAAAATATGACCTGGCACAAATTAAATCATGGAAGTAATATGATTTATATTTAGGTTATTTACGGTAATAGTTTGATGAATCAGGTTACTTGAAAAAAAAAAAAACTCTAGTAAAACCCACATGTTAAAAAGAAAAGAAAGTTGATCCCACATTTGAAATAAAAATATGATTTACTTTAATAGCTACGCACATCGTTTCTTTCATGTTATTTCGTACACTACCAAGAAGAGAATATATTTTATTCTTCAACTTTCAATAAATACAAATTACTTCGCTTTCCTATTTGAAAAAAAAAACACAATTAAGACTGATCATTACTAGTAATTAGTGAAATATCTTCTTATTTAATAATAAGCATTCATATTGATCTTCTTTCCGGTCAACAAAAACACCTTGAGTCTGAGAGAATTGGGTGGATCATTACCTAGGGTTTTTGGTTTTGGCGACGAACAGAGAGAACAGGATTTTGGGAAATTCGATTCCGTGTATTAATTCCAAAGGAATGATTAGTTACAATTAATGTGTCCATATCTATGTATTTATATACACTAAGTAACCAACCTAGAATAAAAGACCAAACTACCCTATGTTTAACTTATACATCTATGAAAATCAAAGGGCAAAACTGTACATCGACCAAAAAACTAAAACTATACATCAGACTAATGCTATACAGAAACAGAAACTAGTATGATTCTTCAATCTTCAAGTTCAAACTGGATCAATTTGCATATTCTCTTCATCTCCTCCGCAAGCTGAAAAGGGAAGAATTTTCTTCACTCGAAGCTTGGACAACAACACAGCAAATTGAGGAAAAGCCAAAGACTTGGTAAAAACATCTACAATCTGCTCATGAGTTGAAACATAAAGAGGAACCAGAAAACCTTTTTGGTACTTTTCTCTAACAAAATGACAATCTATGTCAAGATGTTTGGTCCTGTTATGAAAAACTGTATTCTTTGTGATGTCTATAGCTGCCTGATTGTCACACCAGACAGGAATTGGCAGAGGCAAAGTGATCTTGAAATCAGACAAAAGGTAAGAAATCCACAACAGTTCTTTGCTGGTGATGTTAAGGCTCCTGTATTCTGCTTCAGCAGAGGAGCAAGAGATTGTAGACTGTTGCTTGGACTTCCAAGATATCAACGCAGGACCCAAAAACACACAGTAACCAGTGAGGGACCTTCTGTGTACAGGATTAGTACCCTCCAACCTGAAATCAGAATGTGAAGTATTAGGCCTGGCAATCCATGTCGAGTCCGGGTTGGCGGGTCGGGTTAAACTCAAACCTGGAAAAATTATAATTAACACGAACCCGACCTGTTTAATTATACAGGTCAAGAATTGCAACCCTAACCCAACCTTTTAAAAACCCAGTCGACCAGGGTCGACCTGTTTAACCCGTAAAAAAAATTAATTAAAAATTGCAAAACCGAAGCAATGGCAGAAAACCTTGGTCTCAAACAACAACGGTGAATAATAATGAATCCATTCATCATCCGTGAATATTCATACATAAGTAGCATTCCAATTTTCAACTCACAAATTTACAATCCAAGAGAAAAAATGAGAAAAAGTTACAAACAAAGACACAAACTTGTCTTCAAAAGTTTTGCTTCCCAATCCTTTATCTTTTCAACAGATTCAAATGATTTGTCAAGCAGTAACTCCCCTTCTACATTCCAGCATTTTTTGAACATAAAACTAATCAACACATTCAAAAGTAAATGATAACAAAAAGAATCAGAGCCAACAAGGAACTGAAATAAAATAGGAAAATAGATAATATCCCTAATTAGACTGCAAGGAACTTGTTGAATTTGTGCTGTTTATCTACCTCATGGGCTCTACCTTTTGGGAGTGTAGTAATGGAAGAACACCTTATAATCACCAACCAATGCTCCATTGCTCCTGGATCTGAAGAAGAGGGGAGGAGAGAAGAATGAATTATGGTGTTTGGGGCGGCTGCCGAGAGGAAGAATAGAATGAAAGAATATTAAAATGAATCTAGGCTATATATAGTCTTCAAATTGGGGTTACTAATGTTGTAAAATTCTCAAATACCCCTCTAAAACTTATATACAACATATAAACGGGTGACCTGGGTAACCCGCCAGGTTGACCCGAACCCGACCAGTATAATAAACAGATCAACCCTAACCCGACCTGTTTATTATACAAGCCCAAAATCTCACCCGAACTCGTTTGTTTCGTGTCAGGTTCGTGTCAAAATTCCGGATCGTGTCAGGAATTGCCAGCCCTATGAAGGATAGAGTATACCAGTGCTTGCAGTTCCTTTGAGATACGATAAGGTATGGATAAGTGCATTCCAATGTGTTTTACAAGGGGCATGCACATTCTTACTCAGTTGTTGCACAACAAAGGAAAGGTCTGGAATGGTAAAATTCAAGTACAGAAGCTTACCAACAAGTTTTCAGTAAAGAGAGGCATCCTGGATGAGGGCTCCATTATCTTCTCCAAATTGATGAACCTTCTGTAGTGGAGTAGTAATAGCTTTGCAGCCTGATAAACCCATATCCTGAATGATATCTAGGATATATTTTCTTTGACTAAGATACATGCCTTCAGATGATCTAGCCAACTCTATACCTAGGAAATACTTTGCACATCCAAGGTCTTTTATGGTAAACACCTGATGCAAAAAATTCTTAACTGCCACAATGCCATCTTCACTTGATCCTGTAACTAGGATATCATCCACATATACAATAAGAGCCAAAAAGTGAGAACCATTGGTAAGAGTAAACAAACAAGGGTCATGTTTGGACTGATCAAAACCATACTTTTGAAGCTGAGAAGTAAACCCTGCATTCCACTGCCTGGAAGCTTACTTTAAACTATATAGAGACTTGATCAAACTTATCCTGGCTGAGCTAGAATATAACCTTCAGGTGGTAGCATATATACCTCTTCTTCTAAGTTGCCATGAAGAAAGGCATTGTTAATGTCTAGCTGATGGAGAGGCCAACTGTTTGCAGAAGCCAAAGCCAACAGGATCCTGACAGTCACAATTTTAGCAACTGGAGAAGAACTGTCATAAAAGTCTTCTCCTTCCACCTGGTTATAACCCGTAGCCACTAATCTAGCTTTGTACCTTTCAATTTTACCATCTGAATGATACTTCACTTTATATGCCCATTTTGATCCTATGGCTCTTTTTCCTGGAGGTAATGATGTTAATTCCCATGTATGATTTTCTTCTAAAGCATTCAGTTCATTTTGCATTGTTGCTATCCATTCTGGACAAGTTCTGGCTTGTAGGTAAGTTTTTTGTTCTAAAATGCTGTCTATTTGGGCTAAAAAGGCCAAATGATGAGAAGAAAACACAGGTTGATATGAATATGTAGGGTAAGTATCCTGATTGACTGATATATTAGAATCAACCAATTGTGAAACAGAAGGTTTTCTCTTCACATGTTGTGACACGTAGTCTTTCATCCATACTGGATCTTTGGAAACTCTGGTACTCCTTCTAACAGGAGAAATGTGAATTGGGACAGAATGTGATTAGAGTCATGATGATGATCACTGTGATTAGATGATGGAATTGGTGAAGGATCCGGATCAATGTATGTATGATCAATGTGATCATAATGCCCAAGATTATTTTCAGAATGAGAAATGGGAGATATAGTAGTATTGTTTGGGGCTGGTGGAGTGAAATTCAAGTCATGATCAGGCCAAGTCTCATCAAGGTAAGGTGTATGATGATTAGGAGAAGAATTTTTGGTTTGATCTGTTTTATAGGGAAAAATAGATTCATGGAAAACAACATCTCTAGATATGATTATCCTTTTGTTGACAGGATCAAACAATTTGTACGCTTTCTGTCCATGAGGATAGCCAATGAAAATAGTTCTAATGGCTCTAGGTTCAAATTTGGTTTTATGAGGTAATGTATTTGTTGCAAAACATAAGCAACCAAAGATCTGAGATGTTGATAATCAGGTGGTTTGGAAAACAGAAGTTCATAGGGTGTTTTTCCTTCCAATACTGAGGATGGTAACCTATTTATGAGATATGTAGCTTTTAAAATCTATGTTTTGAAAACCGGACCGGAAGGCGATAAGTGGTTCACTGGTTCACCGGTTTAGATCGGCTTTTAAAATCGGTAAAAACCAGTCATAAAAAAATATTCAAAAAATTATTTATTTTCAAAATTTCAAAATCTCGATTCAACCGGTATCGATTCCCGGTCAAACCGTGATTTTGTCTGGGTTTGACCGAGTTTGACCGGTTTTTAAGTCTACCGGTTATTTATCCAAATCGGACCAAGAAGGCCTTCGATTCCTAATCGAATCGATTTGACCGCCCGGTCTGGTCCAGTTTTCAAAACACAGGTTAAAATGGTCCCCCCCTCTCCCCCCCCCCAAAAAAATTTTTTTTTGTCAAACCAGACTAGAAAAGAAGAGCTCTTGCTACGTGAAGAAGGTGTTTGTGCTTCCTCTCCACAACACCATTCTATTGTGGAGTATACAACAGGTTCTTTGATGGATGATACCTAAGTCTGAAAACAGATCCTGACATGCTTAGCTGAGTAATTCTAAACCATTGTCAGTTCTTATGGATTTCAAGGATTTTTTAAACTGTGTTTGAACAAGTTTGATGAAGTTTTTAATGTGGGAAAAGGTTTGAGACTTATCTCTCATTAGGAATGTCCATATTGCTTTACTATAA